TCCTAAATTACAGTTTGACATCCAGTTTTTAATTTTTCTTTCAAAAATATCCACAGAACTCAAATTTTTACCTATTTTTTTCCAAAATTGTTTTCAATTTCATCATCTAATTTTACTTCATTTTTACTATAAATTAAATAAAAAATAAATTAAGAAATTATATTTATTAATTTTAAATTACATACAATTTTATTTTGGGGTGTTACATACTTAAATTTATTTTTATTATCACAATTTATTATTTATTTTATTAAATATCAAAATTTAATTTATAATAATTATTTATTTAAATACAAATTTAATTATATTGTTAAATAATTTAATTTTTTTATTATATATTTCTTATATATCAATTACTATTACATAAATAAATAAGGATAAATTAATAATTTGATTGAAAATACAACCATATCATCCAATCATTTAACAAAAATATGTCATTAATATATATTAAAATACAATCATCTAAATATAAAATTTTTTTATCATTTACACCTTATGTCATTGTCATTTAATTATAATTATTACCATACATTAATTAACCATCAATAAAATTTATCTAAACATGATGTTAATATAGCGACGAGGACGTGGGTACAAAGAATAAGAGGACCGCTAATCGGATTACTATTTTTCAATTAATAAAATATAAGATTTATATGTTTACTAAAATATAAATATTCAATATTCAAAATTTAATTAATTAATAAAATATAAAAATTATTCTGTTATAATTTAATTAATAAAATATAAGAATTTTATTGAATTTCAGATAAATATATTATTTGTAATTTATAAAAAAATAATAAAAGTTATTAAGGTAGTAAAGGATTTAAATTCACTTATAATAAATTAATTAGTGATTAATACAATAAATTTAGACATGTAAATACATTATTTTTATTATCAAATTAATTAGTTTAACAGGTTAATTCATTAATTTAAATAAATTCCATAATTATCAATATCTTTTAGTTACTATTACTTTTTACATAATATTTTAATTAACCTTAAATAAATTCCATTATTTTTAACTTTTAATGAAATGTTTAATTAAAATTTTACTTAATTAATTGATGTATTACTGCTATATTACTGTATTTTTACTTTTAATTTAAACCATAGTTGAAAATTATCCTAACCATAAAGGTTAAATTTATATTACAATGAAAATTATCTAAGTAAAAAATTACACTAAGATTAAAACTGATTTAATTATATTTATAATGAAAACCAAATATCATTTCATAATTATAGTACTGTCTAATTAAATGATTCCAACTTTTTCAAGTAAAAATTTGAATTTCTACTCTCCAAAATTACTTAATCTGATTTATTTCGATTCGATCTAGTATGATTATGTGCTAATCTCTCCTCTCACACCCTTTTTCGCTCCTTTCCTCCTCGAAAATCTAAACTTTATCTTTATCTTTGCTGGGTGTTTAGAAAAAAAAAAAAAAAACACTTTCCTCCTCCACCTTTTTTATAATATGAAAAAGTAATTCAATTTTAATTGAAAATTGAAAATTAAAGTACAGGAAGAAGAGGCTGAGTTAAAGCAGAATGGAAGAGTCTGGTTGCTACTGTCTCCAACCTCCGCTATGGAGAACTAACAGTAAAATCCCAGCTTCTACCAGAACAGTCTCTGTGTTATCTGCGAATTTCTCCACTGCCCATCTCTCATGGTTTCTTTTCACTCTGAGATATTCTACTTAAAATGCTGTTAAACAATTTAAACCCCCCACAACCTGGCACTTTCTGATCTCTCCCTTTTTCAAGTGTTTGGTTTTCCTCGGAGGGAGCCATGAGAGAATCTCTTCTCTGGCTCAGTTCGGTGTTGGTTTTTGTTGCTTATAGTTTTCAATTTCAAGCCCATGCTGCTCCTGCAGGTGACGATTTTTAGCTATTTTTCTTTATTATTCTTTTGGGTTCTTTTTGATCTGTTTGTTTAACGGATTTTTACTAAATTCTTTTCTTCACACTTTTGTTGATTCTCTTGTTTGGGTATTATCAATACCCCTTTATGAAACTCAACTTTATAGTCACATTTTCCTGCTTTTACTGTAACTTTGCATGAGTGATTACTGTTTCAGAAAGATACTTTGATTGCTGAGATCTAATTCTCCAATGGGTATGCTTGTTATTTGCTTTTAGCTTCACTAGTAATGCCATGGGTAAACTCTGATTAATTTCAGGTCCATTGATAAAACACTTGTCTTCTCTACTCAAATGGACCACCAGGTCACCCTCTAAATCGCCTCAATCAGGTAGCTTGACATAATCCCTATCATGGCAAACTTCTTGTTTATTTACACCACCTTTAACTGATCAATTCTCTGTACGTTTGACATGGCTGTTTGTTTTTCTAGATGGAAATGTTCTCCAGTTTGAGAATGGTTACTTGGTAGAGACTGTTGTTGAAGGAAATGAGATTGGTGTTGTTCCTTACAAAATCCGTGTGTCCGAAGATGGAGAACTATATGCTGTTGATGAAGTTAACAGCAAAATTGTTAAAATTACTCCACCTTTATCCCAATGTAATTTGTTCCTTCTATTCCCTCTCTGTAGGATTCAGTTTATATTTCTGTCAAATGTAAGAACAATGGCTGTCTAATTGAATCTTTTTATCTTATCTTTAATGTTGCTTCCTTTTTTTTAATTGCGATTTTCCTTCATGAAATGGAAACTCTATAGTTGCTGGCTAGTGGTATGCTAACTGGGGAAGATTGGTTTCTGTATGCTAATTGGGGGCTGTGTTTCTTGTTTATAATATTCGCTTGTTACAGATAGCAGGGGAAGATTGGTTGCTGGATCATTTCAAGGATACACGGGGCATGTTGATGGAAAACCGAATGAGGCTCGCTTTAATCATCCCAAAGGTGTAACAATGGATGACAAAGGGAATGTTTATGTTGCTGACACACTTAATTTTGCCATCAGGAAGATTGGAGATGCAGGTATGGCAAATTCATCATGTAATACGAGTTCAAAAGAGGGAAGAATTCAGTTTTGATTTTCTCTGTGAACTGTGGTCCCAGAGACTCAGTACAGATGTTACAATCTTATATAAAGATTAGAAACTTTTGGGAATTAGGTTAAAACAACACAACTAGACTGTAGAGCTTTTCTTTAGTTGAAGACTGAAATATTTATTACTGTCAGGGACAAATGATGGGGGTCATTAAGAACAGAATTCCTAAGCTTGGATTATTTGCAGGTGTAACAACCATAGCTGGAGGAAAGTCAAATATGGCTGGATACCGGGATGGGCCCAGTGAGGATGCCAAGTTCTCCAGTGATTTCGATGTTCTATATGTCCGGCCAACCTGTTCCTTGTTAGTTGTTGATAGAGGAAATGCTGCTCTTCGGCAAATTTCTCTCGACCAAGATGATTGTGACTATCAATACAGTTCAATTTCTCCAACAGGTTCAATCTCTTGTTATTTGCTTGATATAGACGATCATGTTTTGTTTTATTTGTGGTTATTTGAGAACAATCTTTGTTATGCAAGCCACTTTTTTGTTCATATATACACTTGTTCATACATCTTGCTGTACACATGTAATTCTCTTGGCATGTCTGCTTGAATTTGCTGGTACGTAAAGGACACTGTTAAATCATGTTAACAAGCTGACCACGAAGAAAGAAATCTCTCTGAAACAAAACTGGAGAAGGATCCAAGCATACAGGGTGGTGTCCAAAGCTGGGTACTTCAAATCTTTCCAGAACAAGTGGAAACTGTATTTCCAATCTCATATAACTCCATTGCAAATGTTGTAGATTGTCTTGTTAAGAAAGTTTATCAACCAAGCCGTTGAAGTAAGTAGCAGCCATCTTATAGATGCTTATTTTGGGAGGACAGTGGGTGGTGTTGGAGTAACTGCTGTATTGATTAACATCCTTTACCTGGGCCTCATTACTGGAGTTTTGTTTTTACATTACTTCAGAAATAATTCATCCTATGGTCATGTGATACATGAAAATAGTGAAGCCTTTTGGAATTGTTAGGATGCATCTGGCTGAAATAGATGCAAGTGTTCTTATTTCTCTGTAGAACTATCTATTAGTGTATTTCTCTAGTAAAGGTTCTGTCTATTTTAAGGTTAGGCAGTCTGTTTATACGTAAGTTGGTTTTGTCTTTGATATTCGCTCATGTTTGCACTGTCTTTTGCATGGGTATAGATTTGAGAATGGACTACTATTGAGGCTAAACTTTGAGCCAGATGACGACAAGTTTGTCTAGTATTTGGTTTGCAATTGTTGGTGGGCTATCCATTTTCATCATGGATTCGGATGGTTGTCATTGATTACTCCATCTCCTACAATCCTTATTTTAGTTCGGTTTCAAAATCAGTTATCTTGACTGGCTGCAGAATATATCTTCAAGAAGATAGAAGATTAGGAAAAAAACTGGTCTCTGGAAACTTTCTTTCTTGATCCCTAGTTCCTTATGTTGTTCCGGGAATATTTTCCTTATGTATGTGTTCATTAAGTGTTATGTCAAGATGAATGGACCAGCCACTCTTTTTATTACGTTTCATCTTTGGTTGGTTGCCACGTGCCCCATACTAACGCACTGGTCTGCTGGCAGATATCCTTATGGTGGTCGGTGCTGTCTTGGTTGGATATGTCACATGCTTGCTTCGGCAGGGTTTTGGATCTTCTTTCTTCTCGAGGATGGTAAAATTTTTTCTTTGAAATTTCACTTATGACTTATATGATCACCAAGAATTTCTTCTTTGAAAACTTAATGCTTGTGTGTCAGTTCATAACTTTCCTTTCGTCCAGTCTTAATATAATATTTGTGTTGATATACCAGCAGTTGTTGGAGACTGAATCGACAGAACCTCCTAGCAAGGAGAAACCTAATCCTATTGTGGAAAGCAGAAGGAAGAACCGGGATGGCCATCTTTTGGGCAGCTCATTATCGATCTGTCCAAGCTTGCACTTGAAGCATTGGCTAATGCATTTCTCTACTTCATTCCTTCACATTTCAGACGAGGTGGATCCAAGAAAAACCTCACGCCACTTAAAGATAGACTGAAGATGCCTGAGGATGAATCTGAACCTGAACCTCCAGTAGTTCAAAGGCAGACAACTCCGGTCCCCCTTTCTGAAACACGACGGGTCCATAATCCTAGTGCAACAGAAAAGTATTCAGACATGAAGCCTCCAAAGCTAAAGTCAAACAGTTTTAAGGACCCCTCTTTGTCAAGTAAGCATAGGTCCTCAAAAAGACAGGAGTTTGCAGAATTATACATGTCTGGCGAGGTTCCTCCTTACACCAGGTCAAAGACTCAGAAAGAGAGAACAAGACATCGCCAGAGAGATAAAAGTGGAGAGGTGGTTTACGGGCCTGGTGGGACGGAACCAAAACCAGCTGAAATGAAGCCAAGGGATTATGATAATTCAAAGTTTGATCATTACAATATCAGAAACAAGTATGGGTCTGATGATTCATTCAGGTTTTAAATAGCGTATGCTGACTGTTTTTCCTTCTTTTTCTTTTCCTGTTTTCTCCAGGTAGATCATGCATCCCTATATTTTTCTTTAGAGGTTACATCAAATTCAATCAGAAACTATGGTCCAGGAGTTTTGGGTTGAAGATCAATTGATTTAGCTGCTGCCTTCTCTTCTCAGAAAGAAAATTATCATTTTGGCACATCCATGTCCATAGTTACTGCTTTTGATTTATGAACCTGTTTTTTTTTTTATGTAGCTTAGCCCTTAAAACCCCATATTATTATTTTAGTTTTAGGTGTTGACTAAGGGCTTTTGGGATTTTGCTATTTGCAATTGATTTTAGTTTATATATATATATATATATATAAAAGTAAAAATTTATACATTTCATTATTAGTTGACTTTTGTATATTAATAATATCATAATCAACATTAATACAAGCTATTAAAGAAAATATACGGCATACTAAGTTTAAAAATTTTAAAATAATATGTAAAATATTTAAAATATTCATACTTGCAATCCTTCATTAAGGACAAACTTAGATATGATATCATGTTATATTTTTTTTAATCTGTGGTACTTAAATATCAAATAAAATGCAATTATGTGTCCTTGCTAATATCTAAATTTATGAATACAAAAATTAATCATTACTAAGCTGTATAGTTAGTATTTTTCTTTTTAATGAAATTATAACTTTGAATTATTAGTTAAAGAATTAATTATATTATTATTGTAGTGTAAATATTATTTTAGTACTAAAGTATGAGTTTATAATTTAAATATATATATATTATATTATATTAAGAGAAGAAGATTTATTCCTTATTTATTTATTTACTTTTTTTTCTTGAAGGCCAACTCAACATAATGACAGTTCATTATTCAGGTGAAAAACATGAATGTAATTAAATAGGATTTCGTTCATTAAAAGGAAAAAGTACCTTCTCACGTGGGAAATGTTGTCCTCTACATATAACTTTTCTGGACTATTAAAAAAAAAAACTTTTTTCTCTTAAATATTTTACATTTTAAAAATATTTTTATAACTAAATAAGTAAAGTTTAAATTTATTTTTAATAAACTTAAAGTAAATTAGAGAATGATTTTATTTTTAAAGTCAACTTCAACAAATACACAATTTTTACTTTTTTGTAAATGATAATATTTTTTACCGTTGTTTTTATTAAATATTAAATAATTTTTTTATTTAAAATATTTTTAATCAACAATTATTTAAAAAATATTTTTCAAAAATTAAATCAAAAACGAAATAAACTAAATGTACTCATATTTTAAAAAGAGACGAGTCCACGATCTTCATTTTTTAAAACTGTTTTTTTTTTTTTTTTTTTTAATTTTTAAAAATTTCAATCAAATCATAAAAAAAGTTTAGAA